GCTCTGGCCATCCCAGCCTTCTCCTGACATCCCAGTGGGTGGGGAGCGCCTCCCTCCTCCCGGCATCCACGCTGCCCACCTCCCCCACGTCGCTGCTTTGGAAAAAGCACTTCTCTGAGCCTTCCTGACCCCGAGGTCCGAGCGGCTGAGCTGATGCTGGTCCGTGTCCAGCTGGGCGCACCCAAGCGGAGGAGGTCTGGGTGGGCCTCAGCGCGTCCCGCGCGGGCGGTGGACGGGCCGGGCCGCAGGCTGCTCCCGGCGCTTTGAAATCTCCCCAGCGAAGCGGGCCGTGTCCACCCACTCCGGCGGGGCGCGGGCTGGCCAGGTGAGACAGCCCTGAAGCCCCGGGCGCTGGGGCGGGCACAGCCCTGCCTGATGGGCACCACCTCCAGCGCAGAGTCCCCCCGGAGCCCTGCTCCCGGCAAGGGCGCCCCGGGTCCCGCCTGGGGCGGCCTTTCGAAGACTGAGTCCGGGAACGCCCGGCCCCCTCCGGCGTGCCCCAGCCCGGAGCTGCCCGGGGGTCCCCTAGGTACTCCCCCCACCCCCCTCGCTTGGAGCCTGAACCCCGGGCACGCCTTTCGGAGCAGCCGCTGGCGCCGGTGCCCCTCCTGGGCAGCCGGGGGCGGGGACAGTGAGCGCGGGACCCGGGGGGCCTCGCGGAGGAGCCGCCCTCCCTCTGATCTCGCCCGCGCCGGAGCCGGGAAAAGAGCCGGGAGAAGAAGAGGAAGGGGAGAGGGACCTGTTCTTCTCTGGGAGGAGCGGCTTTGTCCTCGGACCGGAATAAAGAAACCGATCCGGTCCGCGGGGCGCCGGGGATGCCGCAGGTACGGGGCGCGCCCTCCCGGGGAGATGCTCCCAGGGACCCCGCGCCGCACCGGCCGCGGGGGCAGAGGCTGGACGTGGGGAGGGGCTTCTCGGGAGACGGGCGGTGGAGCTCGTTTCTTCAGGGGAGCCGGGCACCCACTCCTGCCCGTAGGTGTAGCCGCCGGAGCTCCGAGGACAATGCTGAGCGCTGGCGGGGCTGATCAGCAGGCGCTGCAGAGTGGCTTCCAGGTTTGCAGGAGGAAGGAAGGGTCCGGCCAGGAAGCCGGCGCTCACCGGCAGGGTCCCCAGGGGACACCTGATGGGAATAGGGTTCTTCTTGGAGAGGTGAGAACTCAGGATTAAAGGCCGCTGGACAATTTCTTCCCAAATCCTAAAAATCGAACACCCTGCCCCACAAGAAGTTTTTAAAACCTGACTTGGAGCCTTCTGGCTGACATGCTTCTGGGTACCCTACCCTCAGAGGGGGCATGCCTCCAGGATACAGGGTCTGCCAGGGGTATGGAGACTCCCACCTGGATTGCAGCCTACCTGTCTGGGCTATGAGCCTGGTCTCCTCCGGCCTTTCAGCTCCTCGCGACTGACAGGGGCAGAGGGCAAGGCCTGAGGGACAGAACTAAAGGCTCAGAGGAAGGAAAAAATCCTGAGAAAAGTGGGGATGAGGAGCTGGAGAGAGAGGCAAGAATGGGGCCAAACTTAATTGGGTTACAGAGGAACTTTAACCCTGATTCCCCAAAGACAAGCTCAGATGTCTCATCTGTGAGAAAGTGGGCAGCAGGCTTTCCCGAGGGTCCTTGTGGGTCTCCCTTTTCCAGGAACCTCAGGTTTTCCATAGGTTTTCCTCAGGTTTTCTCTGGCTCTCCTGACATTTCCAGGGCTGCCCAGGCCCCAGTCCTCCTTTTACACCACAGCAACCTGGTCTGATGTTTTCCAGCCTGTGCAGGACTGGAACCAGGGGAGAGGGCAGGGGACAGGGGGACTTCCTGTTGTTCTCTGTCCCCAGAAGCGCAGAGGACAGCCCCTCCCCTCTCCATCTCCCATCTCAGCCCTGTTATGGGGTCTGATGGAGTCAGCCAGGTTGGGATTTCCCTCCCCTTCTTCGCAGCTGACTGGGAGGCCTGAGCTTCCTATAGTCATTCCTTGCAGTTCTAGGTGTGACACCTTCCCTCTCCACCGACCTCCATACTTTACAGACATAATTGATCTCCTTCCTGGAGGATGCTGAAACTCTGTTTACCTCAGGACACACCAGCCAAGGAAAGCATTTTGCTCCAAAGCCCCCTTCCTAAGCCATTCAGCGGCTTAGGCTGTGACTTTCCCCCATAGCCTCTGCCTGGGGTCCAGTCTTGGCAAAGACGGTGGGTGGCTTGTAGGCTCCCTGCAGACTTGTATGTTGGAACAGCAAGCCCAGTGAGGAGCGGGGAGGGTGGCTGTTAGAAGGCCGTGACTTTAGAGCAGTGTTTTGCCAGAAGGAAAGAGACCAACTCATGGAGGACAGGGTTGTCTCAAAGCCCTCCCTCTTCAATTGTATTCAGAATCCCTTTTTTTCTTTTCTATATTGATTAAGGTATTAGTAGTACATGTGTTCTTCTACCCCCATTGCTTCTTCCCATGCCCTCACTCATGCCCTCGTCCTTCTGATGTCTGTGTCCGTTGGTTAGGCTTATATGCATGCATACAAGTCCTTTGGTTGATCTGTTCCCCTACCTTCCCTCTGAGGTTTGACTGTCTGATCAATGTTTCTCTGTCTCTGGATCTGTTTTTGTTCATCAGTTTATGTTGTTCATTATATCCCATAAATGAGTGAGATCATGTGATATTCATCTTCCTCTGACTGGCTTATCTCGCTTAGCATAATGCTCTTCAATTCCATCCATGCTGTTGCAAATGGTAAGAATTCCTTTTTTACCACAGTGTAGTATTCCATTGTGTAGATGTACCACTGTGTTTTTAATCCACTCATCTGTTGATGGGCACTTAGGCTGTTTCCAAATCTTAGCTATGGTAATTGTGCTGCTATGAACATAGGAGTGCATATATTCTTTCTGATTGGTGTTTCTAATTTCTTGGGATATATTCCTAGAAGTGGGATTACTGGGTCAAATGGGAGTTCCATTTTTAGTTTTTTGAGAAAACCCCATACTGTTCTCCACAGTGGCTGCACCAGTCTGCATTCTCACCAGCAGTGCACAAGAGCTCATTTTTTTCTTCGCATCCTTGCCAGCACTTGTCATTTGTTGATTTGTTGATGATAGTCATTCTGACAGGTGTGAGATGGTACCACATTGTTGTTTTGATTTGCATCTCTTGGATGATTAATGACTTTGAGTATGTTTTCATATGTCTCTTGGCCTTATGTTCTCTTTCGAAAAGTATCTATTTAGGTCTGTTGCCCATTTGTTGATTGGATTGTTTATTTTCCTTTTGTTAAGTTGTATGAGTTCCCTGTAAATGTTGAAGATTAAACCCTTACTGGTGATAACATTGGCAAATATGTTTTCCCATACAGTGGGCTTTCTTGTTGTTTTGTTGATGGTTTCTTTTGCTGTACAGAAGCTTTTTATTTTGATGTAGTCCCATTTGTCTATTTTCTCTTTAGTTTCCATTGCCCTAGGAACTATATTGGTGAAGATATTGCTTTGGTATATGTCTGAGATTTTGCTGCCTGCAGATTCCTCTAATATTTTTTTATCGTTTCCCATATTATGTTTAAGACCTTTATCCATGTTGAGTTTATTTTTGTGTATGGTATAAGTTGATGGTCTAGTTTCATTTTTTTTGCATGTATCTGTCCAATTTCCCCAACACCATTTATTGAAGATACTGACTTGACTCCATTGTATGTTATTGCCTCCTTTGTCAAATATTAATTGAACATAGTGGTTTGGGTTGATGTCTTGGTTCTCTATTCTATTTCATTGGTCTATATGTCTGTTCTTGTGCCAGTACCAGGCAGTTTTGAGAACAGTGGCTTTGTATTCCACTTTCACCACTCCTGTTTGGCATAGTTCTGAATGTGCTAGCCATAGCAATTAGACAAGAAGAAGAAATAAAAGGTATCCAAATTGGAAAAGAAAATATAAAACTGTCATTATTTGCAGATGACATGATATGTACATAGAAAACCCTCAAAAATTATTAGACTTAATAAATGAATTCGGCAATGTAGCAGGATACAAAATTAACACCAAGAAATCTATGGCATGTTTATACACGAAGAGTGAATTTACAAGAAGAGAGGTTAAAAAAAAAATCCCATTTACCATCGCACCAAAAAAATTAAGATACCTAGGAATAAATTTAAAGAGGTAAAAGACCTCTACTAGGAAAGTTATAGGACACTGAAAAAAGAGATAGAAAAAGACATAAACAGATGAAAGAACATATTGTGTTCATGGATTGGTAGAATCAACATCATTAAAATGTCCATACTTCCCAAAACAATCTATAGATTCAATGCACTCCCCATTAAAATACCAACGGCATATTTCACAGACCTAGAATGAATTCTCCAAAAATTAATCTGGAATAAAAAAAAAGACCCCAAATAGCTGCAGCAATCCTGAGAAAGAAGAACAAAGTAGGAGGGATCTCATACCAGATTTCAAACTGTATTACAAAGCCATTGTTCTCAGAATCACTTCTTTTAAGCAACAGAATGGAACAATCCCACAAGGACAAAGTTCAGGCTGTCAGGATAGGAAATGGAGTTTGGAGCAAGTTATTTTCCTTCTCTTCAGCCTCCCACACTCCCTGAGAAAAAGTGTAACATTTCAGATTCCTCAGTGGAAGGGAAATAAACAGAGTCAGTGCCTGGTTGTCTCTATAGCAATCCCATATTCCCTGAATGAGTGGATATGTGGTTGATAATACTTTCTCTTCTCTCACTTTTTTTTTTATTTCCACTCCATCACCCACTGTTCACTCTGAGCAGGTGGCTAATGGATCTGTTTAGGTTACAGGATGGTTTTAAATTTGGCCGGATTCACTCAGATATGTAGCCAACTGTATGTATGTCTTTTTAAAGGTTTAGGATGGAGCTGAACCCCAAAGATACTGGCAGGAACACTCTGACTCATTGAGACAGAACTGAGTGTTAGCAGAGAGAGAAGATAGCTTCTCAGTCATCATCCCAGAGGAATTCCCAGCTGTGTTGCTCAAGGCATCATCTGGCCACCATGGGAGTCATGGATGAGAATGCCACCAACATCTCCACCAGCTTCCCTTCTGTGCTTGATCCCCACGGAGCCCAGGCTGCTTCCTTCCCATTTAACTTCAGCTACGGCGACTATGATATGCCCTTGGATGAAGACGAGGATATAACCAATTCTCTGACGTTTTTTGCTGCCAAGATTGTCATTGGCATGGCCCTGGTGGGCATCATGCTGGTCTGTGGCATTGGCAACTTCATCTTCATTGCTGCCCTGGCCCGCTACAAGAAGCTTCGCAACCTCACCAACCTACTCATTGCCAATCTGGCCATCTCTGATTTCCTGGTGGCCATTGTCTGCTGTCCCTTTGAGATGGACTACTATGTGGTGCGCCAGCTCTCCTGGGAACATGGCCACATCCTGTGCGCTTCTGTCAACTACCTGCGTACTGTCTCTCTTTACGTCTCCACCAATGCTTTGCTGGCTATCGCCATCGACAGGTGAGTAAGGAGACAGTGGGAACAACAAAGGAAGGAGCACTGGAATTGTTGGTTGCAATTATCATTGAGGAGAGATATCTGTATTCACCAGGGATCTGTATATATAAGGGATTAAAAGTTGGCTCCATGGTTTCTTGGCCTTGTTGCTAAGATCAAAAGTACTATGAAAAGTTGGCTCATTGACTGACACTTGAGAAGGGTTCTAGATTTCTAGCTGTGGGCAGACTGGAGGTAGCAGAGCTCTGATGACTGGCAGTGGGAAGGCTATGGATCCCTCTGCTATGGTTATACTCCTAGATGTTTTATCTGTTCAAGGTCTATAGAGAGTCAGGTAAGAGTAGGGGTAGAGGGACAAGATTAAATGCTAAACAAGTAACGAGTCAACTTAAATATCTTGATGGAGTTTCCTGTCTTATTAAGACTTCCTCTACTGAAACATGAACTACCCAGCCCCACCAGCACCAACTGATTTTAAAATAAGATTGAGGGATTTGTTTTGAAAAAACAAGCAAACTAACTAAAAAACAAAAAACAAACAAACAAAAATACCCAAAAGAGAACATATGTTTATTTGCTCTTAGCTGTTGCAGTAGTCAGTTTGCCTCTCTTCATACATTTGCATGCAGCAGCATAGAAGACCTGTTTCTGTTGAAGGAAAATAAAATCAATAAGAGCAGCCTGTGCAGATTTTTCTGATGTTATGCTTAGTCTTTTCATGTAGCATAATCACCTGTGCTAATGACTAGGGTGGTTTCTGGTTCCCTCAGGACAATCTTTGCAAGCTCCACTCATTACAAAATACCTTGTTACAATGTAGAGACAATTACCTTAAGGGTCAAATCAGGCCTCCGTGTACTTGAATCTGAAGTGCCCATCTCTCTCCCTTAACCCAGAAAGCCTGAAGCACAGATGTGCTCCCTGTTCCATGGCCTCAGGGCTTTGGTGGAGTTCAGCCTGTCTCTCATAGTTGGGACAATGTTCTGGGGAGCAGCACAGCAAATAGAGCCTGCTTTCTGGAGCCATGGGCAGGACAATGAGGGGTACACTGACCTGGAAAGAGACCACTCCTGAGGAAAGGGGGTTGAGAAGGAACCAGGCTTTAAAGCCACTGAGAGGTGGAGCCTTGGGAAGGTAGATGTCAGGGAGTTAGCAGCTTTAGTCTGCACCCATAGAAGGTGCTTAGAGGGTCACCCTGCAGAGGGCTACTTCTCCTTGGCCAAGGTCTTCCACGTGAGTGACAGAGCCCCACAGTATATTGTCCATCCAGGGATAGAGTGGACCTACAGAAGGAGCAGAAGGGGAGAAATGAAGCTGGGTATCTGCCCCTTAAGTCCCCTTCATAGCCATGGAAGACAGCTCCAGGGACCTTACCTTTGACCTTTTTTACAAGTAGGAGCTATCACCACCTCTCTTAGCACATCAACAGGACAGAGCATGCAGGGTCATTTTCTGAAGTTTCATTCTAGCTAGACATCTTTTCACGAGGTGTGTTCTCAGCCACTAACCGTGGGTGGGACCCTGCTGTCTGGATGAAACCCATTTTACTTGTCGAAAGGTGTAACACTGTAGTAGGGAGTGGCTTCAAGGAACTGGGTTATTTTGAACATGTAAGAGGAGAGGTCTATATTGATCTACTGAACTCCTACAAGTCCTTATCCCACTTTCACACTAAACTCTGCTTGTCTGAAGTACTGCAGACATTTCTCTGGCAGTGTGAGTTTATATAATGCAAGTTAAATACAATAAGAAAAATTAATTGGGGAACCTGCACAGCATCATAGAGACTGCTGTTGTTCAGGATGGCATCGTGAGTGGAAACTTGCACCCAGACAGTGGAGGACAAGCACTAATGCCTGCACAGGGCCATCCAGTTGGCCTTGGCCAACGAACTAGCTGTGCCAGTACATTAAGTTCTTTTATTGATGTTTGTAATCTTTGCTTCAAATCATTTTTATTTTTGTGTGTCTTTACCATCTAATTTCAATTTATCCTAGGACTTCATTGATTATAGTCTGGTCTCATGTGTTGTTCAGGATTTGATCAGTAGATTTTCAGGTTTGATTTGTTTAATTTTGGACAACTAATTTTTATCTTGATATAACAACATACCTACAGTTATAAAAATACATTTTAAAAAAGAAATTTCTATAGGAAAATAATGTTAACAGTTATTGTGCCTGGGTTTAAATTCCTGCAGTACCACCTATTAGCCCTATATTAATTATTTGACCTTATTCTCCCTCAGTTTTCTCATGTATAAAATGGGAATAATAAGAAAACCTAGTGTATTGGGTTACCTTGAGGATTAAATTATTTTTGTAATCATTTGGACAATGTTTAAAACAAAATAATCACTAAATAAACAGTGGATATTATAGTTCTTGAATTAACCCTTAAAGGAATAACAACAACAAAAAGATACACACAGATAAATGAATTAATATTTCTGATTGGTTAACCTCTTTGTTTTCATTGAAGAGATTGTTTTAATGATGTGATTTCAAAGATAATAATACTAGGTTCCTAAGAAACACTGCTATCAAGAGATAGCAGAACAGAACGGTTACTCTTCTACCTGCCTGCACTTCTTTGTTCTTTTTATCTTGACTTTGATAAAACCATTGGTTCCATGGTTTTTCCAGGCATCTAAACTAGCAAGTCTCCTCTGTCCTGGCCACTCTCTTTCTTTCTCCAGCATTCATTTCATTCCCAGATCCTGCCAATTCTTACTCTTCCCTCCCGTCTATTCACTCAGGGCTGGACTATCATAGTCTCCCCTTGGCCTTCCATGTTTCTTGGCTCTGCTTTCTGCCAACCTACTCCCCTCATAATCCTCCCTAAACATTCATTCATTCAAATAATGCATTTTTGTAGAACTGCATGTGACAGATACTATTCTAAGCATTGGGGTTAAGATGAATAAGAAAAAAAATTTTCTTTGCCCTCATGGAACTGACATCCATGGGATAGAGAGAGTTAATAGTCAGGCAAACAAACAAGAAAGGCATTTTTAGAGCATGGGTAATACTCTAAACAAAAGCAAATAAACACTAAACCATTGAGAGTGATTGAAGGTGGGAGATACAGGTGTAGAATCAGGAAAAGTGTGTCTGAGGAGAAGACTTTTGAACCTACCTCTGAAAGATGGAGGAAGAAAAAAAAAAAAAAAAAGCCAGTCTTGTGAAGACTGATAAAAAAATAAAATTAAAAAAAAAAAGCATCCCAGATAAAGGGAATAATAAGTGCAAAGGGCCTGAACAGGAACAAACCTGGTGGTTTCTAAGAACAAAGAGAAGGCCCCTGTGGCCTGAGGGAATAAAGCAAGACTGCAGCCAAATTAATATTCTGTCTTGTATGTCTCCTCTCTTTGGCTCTAAAGACCTCAAAGAACTCCATTGTCTACAACATATGCCTCAAACTCCTTCGCCTGCTCTTGAAACCTTCCATTGAGCCCAAGGCTCAATGCTGGGTAAACACATTTATGTCCTGTTTTCCAAATAGGGTTACACTATTTTTGAAGGCCGCTACTATGGTTGACTACATTTCTATTTGCTTTGTGCCAGGAACTATTGAGAGTGAAGTTTCACTAAAATCCCAGGTGCCCATAATTCACAGAGAGCAAAAGCTTCTAAAAGAAGTAAGACATGGTCCCTGCTTTCTGGAGCTTACCATCTAAAGTGGGAGAGGTGGGTGGGGAATGAGGTGACACTTACAAAACATTTAAAGAATAAAGAACAGCCCTAACCAGTTTGGCTCAGAGCATCGGTCTGCGGCCTCAAGGGTCTCAGGTTTGATTCTGGTCAAGGGCATGTACCTTGGTTGCAGGCACATCCCAGTGGGGAGTGTGCAGGATGCAGCCAATCGATGTTTCTCTCTCATCGATGTCTCTAAGTCTCTATCCCTCTTCCTTCTTCCCTGTAAAGAAACCAATAATATATATATATATATATATATATATATATATATATATATATATATATATATATATTTTTTTTTTTTTTTTTAAAGATAAAGAATACATTTTAAATGAAATTTACAGAAGGGTGAGATCATTGTGTATCTGAGTAGATAAAGGAGGTTTCATGAAAAGGGGGGGATTAAAAAATTCTTTATTGATTAAGGTATCACATATTTGTCCTCAACCAACCATTCCAATCTCCCACTTCCCCATTTATGCCCCCACCCCCCTATTGTCCTCAACCACTGGTTAGTCTCATATGTATGCACATAAGTCCTTTGGTTGATCTCTCCCATTGAGGTCATGGGTCAGACTGTTTGACCTCAAAGAGGGGGACTTCTTAACTGGCTTTCAACAAATGGTGACCAGCGAAATAGAGGAGAGGTTTTCCAAGAGGAACAGTGTTTACAGCAGCCTAGAAGTGGGAATGTTTGAGGCATGAGGTCCCTTGCAGAAGGTGTAGGGCAGAGGCAAGGAACATATGGAAAGTCAAGGTAAAAAAAGACAAGGTCATATTCCAGAAGATCTCAAAATCTAGGGAGTCAGATCTGATGGCAGCAGGAAACTGAGATCCCAGAGCATGTGGGGCACTGCAGGTCCTTCCTTTCTTTTACCCCTAAACCAGGGAAACTGACCAGTCTACCTGTCATTGTCAGCTTTCCTCTTCTGTCTGAATGAGGCCAGCTAAGGAATGAGTAATCATTCTCAGTCCCAGGTCCTGCAAGTGCTACCCAGTGAGATTATTGGTCAGAGCTGGCTGGCCCAAGGAGTAAGTCATGCAATCCCTGCCCATCCATGACTGGCCTAGTAGCTGCTGCAACCTCCACTTCCATGGTTTGATCTGGGGTTGGGTTCTGGGGACAGAGAGAGAGCCCAAATGCTCTTGGTTTAATCACCCTGCCCACTATCACCATACCATTGCTGCCTGGACATTTATTTATTTATCAGCCTTCATTCTTTGTTGGCTCAAAGTGGATCTGGACCTGAGCCAAGGTAGTGGTAGACACACAGGGAAAGCCAAGGGCATACTCATGAGCTGCCAATTGCCTGACACCTTCTTGGAACATCAATAGGTAGAAACCAACTGTGATGGAGAGAAAAGATGACTATATGATACCAGGAGAAGGGTAGAACGAAGGGCTATTGCTTGCTTTGGTTGAAAGGGTGGGGAAAAATAGAGTATTTGAGAACCCATTGCATTTGGAACAAGATATGAATGGGTCTGCATCATGGTCCCATCAATTTCTAGCTGTCTGGCTTTTGGCAGGTTATTTAGCCTCTCCAAATCTTAGCCTGCTCATCTGTAAAACGGGTGTTTTTTCTCTTACCTACTCTAATGAGAAAGTGGATTTGAAATGTTCTATAATTTGTAAACTGAAAATTTACAAATGTTCTATAATTTGTAAACTGCTTTATAAACATAAGCAAGTGTTACTAATACTAGAGTTCTAAGTTTTGATCCTAGCATAGCCAAGGCTGGTGGCAATCTTTAAAGCAATTTCTGCAATTTGCTTATTGGTAAGTGTATTTGGAAGGCCTCTTGCTCAGTTCCTGGAACGAAGGCTGGGGATAGAGTTAGGGTGATGTCAGAGAAAGCCAGAATGAAAAAAACTTTCAGATGGGTAGTCACAGATTACCTGAAGGTTAGTTTTGATATGAAAATAAGTAGAATCAGTAAAATATACCCAATAAAATAGAAAGTAGTAGAGAACTTTCAAATGCAGTATTTGCCAAAAACAGGTGAAAGAAAATTGCTATATATACACAGAATAACTGGAAAAAAAATACATTCTAGGATGCTAACAGTTTCTTGTGTATTAATAGCCTGTTGTTGTTTATATATACTGTTTGTTTCGATCTTACAGTATCTCTGTGAGGTTGGTGAGACAGATAATATCTCTATGTTACAGATGAGGAAATTGAGCTCACAGGGCTAAGAAAAATGGCTCAAATTCACATAACAAGTTTGTGGCAAAACTGGGATTAGATTCTTGGTCTTCTGACTCCTAGGACAGCATTCTCTCCTTCTTTCTCATTGAAAAAACACTTTGGCTTTGAACCATTATAAAGATGTAGGAAGTTACTAGTGGGAAAAGAAGGAATAGAATTATAAAGTGAAAATTCATATACTAAACAGGTATGAATATAGAAATATTCTTTGACAAAGTAATCAACGAAACATGGTGGTGTAGGGGAGAGCAAAAACACTAAGTTCTTAGTTTTTGCTATGAGTCAGAGCAAGGTTGATGCACTCATGGTAGCAGGAGCGCCATGACTTTTGTGAAGGATGACAAAAGCACTGCCAGCACTCTGTGGACACTGCATTCCACCCTTTGGCACTAAGGGGTTGGCGAGAGTGCCAACGATTGTTGCCGATGGGGGAGCATGTCAAGCAGACAGCTGGGTGTTCAGAGGGTGGACACAACCTATCCAACTTAATCTAATATCTGGAGGCTATAAGACAGCAGGAGTCTCACTCTAGTTAACTCTCCAAATGACACACCCCATGGAGCTGGCTACTTGGGTTGGGAAGCTGAGGGTAGAACAGAAACAGCAATATTATTATCAGAAGAAAAAAAATAAGAATGAACCTTTTCTAATCGAAATTCCAAGAAAGATGAACTCAAAGGGATTGGTTTCAAAAAACAGAATTGGTTTGGCTTCCTTTCCTACTCCTATCACATTTGCTCGTGGCTCTACCTGGAATAAGCTGTAGGCACGTGAGAATGTGTTTATTTCCAAGGTTGATTAGTCATTCCCTCCCACTTCACTTCCTATCTTCTCCCCCAGTCTCCATCCCCTGCAAGACCGGAAACTCTTCCAGGAAATCAAAGTTCCTGCATAAGTGTGTGCACTCACTCTGGGAAGGAGGCTTTCATACCGCACAAATGACTCACGTCCCCCAGAAAGTGCTCTGTCTTTGCTTCTGGACCTGTGTGTAACAGCAGTGTGGCTTTTTTTTTTTTTTTTTAAGGGGGGGGGGCAGAGAACAAAAGCAATATCCTTTACTATCTGGTGCTTTGTGATTAAAAAAAAAGATACATTCATGTATATTCTCAATTGATTTTCTCATCAATTATCGATATATTAGACAGGGTTAAATGTTTTCTACCAAGGGTCCTATGGTAGATGACTTTGAGAAAGCCACTCATCTCTCACTGGCTTCTATTTTTCCACCTGGAAAGTAAAATAAATGATCACATGTATTCCTCTTTGCATGAAGAGCAATGTTTTAAAAAGATGTGGAATGAAGACAAAACTTTGCCCACTGCTTCCACTGCACAGAGCAAGTTCTTCCAATACGTCTTTAGAACTATCGGGCCCTTTTGGCTTTAAACTCTGGGTTAATTAGAATGAATGATCCTGAAGACAGGAAGGACTTGGGAATAATGCCAGGCTAGAAACTGATGGCAGGCATTATTATACATTTAATAGTAATAGTTGCCATTTATTGAGTATATGCCAGGAATTGTGTATACATTCGCATACGTCATCCTTAAAAACAAACAAAAACATTTGCAGGTAAAGCAACTGAGATTCAGGGAGATGAAACAAAACTTGCTTGAGGTTGCAACAACTCGTAAGGGGTGGAATTGGGGTTCGAATTCAAGCCTGCCTTTTAAAAAAATATATTTTATTGATTTTTTTAATAGAGAAAATGGAGAGTGATATAGAGTTAGAAATATCAATGAAAGAAGAAATATCAATCAGCTGCCTCCTGCATACCCCTACTGGAGATGTGCCTGCAACCAAGGTACATGCTCTTGATTGGAATAGAACCCAGGACCTTTCAGTCTGTAGACCGACGCTCTATCCACTGAGCCAAACCAGTCAGGGCAAACCTGCCTTTCTTGAACACCCCTACACCATTGCATTTTCCTTCCACACACCCCCTTCGGTTGCAAAGATCTCCTCATGGGGCACTTTCCTGGCACAGCGGCTGACCCGTTTGTGTTCTTGTCCTAGGTATCTGGTCATCGTCCACCCGCTGAGACCCCGGATGAAGTACCAGACAGCCACGGGCTTGATCGCCCTGGTGTGGGCCGTGTCCGTCCTCATCGCCATCCCCTCCGCCTACTTCACCACGGAAACGGTTCTCATCGTCGTCAAGAGCCAGAAGAAGATCTTCTGCGGCCAGATCTGGCCGGTGGACCAGCAGATCTACTACAAGTCCTACTTCCTCTTCATCCTCGGCCTGGAGTTCGTGGGCCCGGTGGTCGTCATGACGCTGTGCTACGCCAGGATCTCGCGGGAACTCTGGTTCAAGGCCGTCCCCGGTTTCCAGACGGAGCAGATCCGGAAGCGGCTGCGCTGCCGCCGGAAGACGGTGCTGGTGCTCATGGGCATCCTCACCGCCTACGTGCTGTGCTGGGCGCCCTTCTACGGCTTCACCGTGGTCCGCGACTTCTTCCCCGCCGTGTTCGTGAAGGAGAAGCACTACCTCACGGCCTTCTACGTCGTCGAGTGCATCGCCATGAGCAACAGCATGATCAACACCTTGTGCTTCGTGACGGTCAAGAACAACACCATCAAGTACTTCAAGAGGATCCTACTGCTCCACTGGAAGTCTTCTTCCAACGGCAGCAAGTCCAGCGCCGACCTTGACCTCAAAACCGTGGGGGTGCCCGCCACCGAAGAGGTGGACTGCATCAGGCTCAAATAACCCAAGAGGTCTTGAGAAGTCCAAACGGGACTCTGGGGACACTGACCAGTGTACTTAGGTACACATTATCAGCACCAGGAACTCTTGGTTTGCCGCAGAGGGCAGAGGAAATGGACGATTACGTGAACATGGTGTCCAAGGAGCTCAGATTTTCTAAGACGGGTGTGACTAGACACCATCACCAGTGATTGACATTCACTGAAGGTCTAATTCGTGCAAAGAGGAGGCACTGACAAAACCTGTGTATGTTGATGACACTGAATGGCACCAGAGAAGTAGGGATTAAACTAAGAAAAAATTTGAACAGGGACAGCCTGGAATAAGGAGGTTGCAGAGGGAACCTGAATAGACATCTAGACAGGGATACATGTGTTTGTTGTGTGAGGGTCTCTCTGGACAACCTCAGCGACACATCAGACACTGATGTGACCCATTTCTATAATTATTTTTAGGCTTGACTTCACTCCTCACACCTGTGGGGTTGGAGTAAGAATACATCCTCCCAGTTCTTTCTTCAGCCTTTCTCTTCTCAATCCTGGTCCCGAATCTCCCTGTGAGGAGCCTTACACGCATGCTCATGGACACCTCAGTATATATGGCAAGTTCTATCCAAACCCTCTTCCCCCATGTTGCCCCATGGCCACACCTCAGGCTTAGTGCCCATATGTAGTGAAGCTCATGATTATAAGATGGACCCTGGGAAGAGGCCGTTTGGAAACTGTTTGGACAAGGAATTATGAGGTCTGGGTACCTGAAGCAAGTCAAGAGGGGAAAAGCTAGGTTCAGGATGGGTATGTCCCCTTGGATCAATGGCCTTCTTTCCCTCAATGGATGGGGTCCAATCAGAGGATCTCTGAAAGGGTGTGGGGCTCAGGGAAGGGGTTCAGGTTCTCTTGGCCTTAGGGTGATACTGCTTCCACCTCTGTTATTCTGATTTGGACCAGTTAGACTTCTCCTTAAGTCCTTCTCATGTCTGCATGCTTGTGAAGCATAGACTGTTTGAAAGGGGACACACACCTCATGAATGTGGTTGTCAGCCATTTTTTCATTCACACCAGCTTTCACCTTTATTGGTACAATTTAAGGGCACGATGTCTTTGTCCCTGGTGCCTGAATCCCATCATAGACATTATTTATTTGGATTAAACCTTGACGCTCTTTTTAAAATGGAGGTACTTTTTGGAGGCATAACCCATCACATTTCCATTCCTTAATGCAAATGAAGTCATGTAATCCAATGGCAGGTGATGAAGCTCAGTGGTAGGGCCCTGGGGACCTAGGAAAGAAAGGGGCATACAAGTGGTGGTGGTGTGTGTGGGTGGGTGGGGGGAGGGTCAGCTAACAATGAGGCTCACTGAGAGCTTGTCCCACTTTCCAATCACCTTTGTTTGGTGTTGTGAATATTGGAATATGGAGTTTTTGAACCAAAAGATCTGATCCAGCCTTGGCTTTGTCATCTCTGTGACCCTGGTAAAGCCTCTTGGAGGGAATGAAGATAGCTACTGAGCTGGGGGGCAGGAGGGGGGGAAAGGGGGAAAAAGTGGTGGTGATGGTGGTTGTGAATAGCCAATGAGATAATATGTGGAAAAACTCAACCACAGAACTAATCAAAAGAGTAGACTAATAACTGTGTGTAATGTGCCTGGACGTGGAAAAACTTGTAAACTTGGCTTATGTATCTAGAAACCTCATCACCTTCCCCTTTCACTATCCTTTGTAAAAATTATTCCCTTATACCTTCCAGCAGTGCTATATGTTCTTAATAAGTTGGTACAATAAGGCAGTGAAAGTTGGTGGCGGAAGTATAAAAGGAAATGGTAGATTAATTTCCTTTTAGTCAGAGACAAGCTCAGTATTTTAGAATAAAAGCATCTTTATGATCATGGAAGTGCTGACCATCTTCCTATGCCTATTCCCCAGTCAGCATGAATCTGGGCATTGTGGTACTTGTTTCTCAATCTGTTTTTTGTTTTCATGAGGGTGTATAGCTATAGAATTGACTTGTCCTTTTCTTAAATATAATGCTATTTAAGTAAAACCTATATTGTGCATCTCCCCCTTCAAATATAGTCAAGTGTTTATTTTATTTATAGTTATTTTATTTATCTGGAAAATACATTTAAAAATTTATTATTTTTCCATTCATCATCCAGCACATTCACCCTACCATTTAATCATAATACTCTCAGAGAAAAAAGAAACCAATTAAAACACTAGCCTAAACCCAATATTCCTTGGAAGGCAAACCTTACTTTTTATCAAATCATATATTATTAAATCAGAAAGTTTTTACACTAAAAATAATAAAATGATCTCATTTGTTGTCAATATGTCCACCTTTCCATTAGAAATGGCTATATTAAATAGGAACTTTTTAGATGTGACAACCAAATGTCTTTTGGCTTTTTAACCTAAAATGTACCTTTTTAAAAAACTCTACCTATAATATTTCTAGATATTGTATCTGATTGTGATTTTACAGTAAGTGAAATTGTTATGTAGTTAATCAAGTGAAATAAAAAATCCAAGTATATAATCATTCAACATGGTGTCTCTGTAATTTTCACCCTCCTTCCCCCAGTGCTTTTCCTAGTTATAGTGTGATGGTTCTTTGAGTGAACATCAAATAAATGCTGATTCCGAGATCAAATAAATTGTGTTAACAGTGTTAATTCATGTTCATATTGCCTACGAACTTCTCTTTTTTAAAAAAATATATTTTATTGATTTTTTTTTTTTTTTAGAGAGAGGAAGAGAGAGGGATAGAGAGTCAGAAACATCGATGAGAGAGAATCATAGATCAGCTGCCTCTTGCACACCTCCTACTGGGGATGTGCCCGCAACCAAGGTACATGCCCTTGACCAGAATCGAACCCGGGACCCCTCAGTCCGCAGGCCGATGCTCTATCCACTGAGCCAAACCGGTTTCGGCCGAACTTCTCTTTATCCTAAAGAAATTTAATTGATTTACATTTCTTCCTAGAAGTCTTCAATTGGTAAAACCATTAATACCTTTTAGCATCTAAGTGCCAGGGCTGGAAATCTGAGGACCTGATATATAAACTCAGATTAAACCTTTGAACAAGCTTAAAGGTTTGCAAAGAGAACCAGGAGATGAACCTACAACACCAAGCCTTGTTCAGGTTGGTGGCTGATTCAATGAACAGAGCAATAGCCTGCCCAGTTGATGGCTTCTCCAAAAACTGGTGGCAAGCCCAACAAGTTGACACTTTTGCTTTTGTGTTTCCTTTCTGTTCCCTACATACTTTCATTATGCAGAGAGATATGCACATTGTCTTATGTAGAAGGATGAAGATGTGATTTTGTGAAGTGAAACCATTTCCTTAACTAAGTTAAAAGGGAAAGATTTACAACAAAGCTTTTAGAAATTTTGTCTGATGAGTACACAGTTAAAAATAATTTCTTAAGTCAAGGCTCTAAAGCATGGCAATGTGATGGTCACCACAGCAAGCCCTCAGCATGAAACAAATTCCATGCTCATTTTGGAAAAGCATACTAAAAATCTTGTGAGATGGCCAGGAAATTATAAATATGAGCTCTGTTCCTTGAAAACTATGATAGATTTTGGAATGTATCCACAAAGAATGATCCAACTCTCTTTCCTCAAGTGTAAGTGAGAATATGAAATTTAAGTTATTCATTTTATGGTTGATGAAACTGAAGCCCAGAATGAGGAAGAGATGTTCAGGGTCACACATACGGTCACTGTGTAAGCCAGAATTAGCAGAATTAGGACCCTGTGTGAGCCAGGATTAAGACCCCTCCTCCCCCCAATCCCCACCCTGCTCCTTTCAGTCTGTCGAAGCTCAATCCAGGATTCTTCTACCACAGCATTTGTGGGTGCAGAGAGTATCAATCTTGGAAAAGGAAGGATCCATTCCAAGAATCCTTGAGATGGCTATTCAACTGCAGTCTAGCCCTCTCTTGAGACCCTTAAGGAGTTTAACAGAAACATTCCTGGTTCCTTTGCAAGCCAAGTTTAGCTCATCTTACTCCTGGGAACTCACGGCACAGACTTAGAGAGCATGAGGTTTCAGGGGAGAACTAAAAAATGTTTGTCCCTGCTCTTTACCTTGCTAGTTGGGGGTCTTTATGATACCACACCTTATTTGTGAGAACAATTTCCCTACGCTAGGAAAGCAGAAGAGAGAGAGAGAGAAGCCATTCTTGGCTGAATGTCCTCAATGGATGGCAGGCTTCTTTGCTCAGAGTTCAGAGGCATCAGAAGGCCACCTCTTGCTGTTGTCAGTGAAGACATGAATGGTTGAGGAGGCTTTTTGGATGAGCTGGGACTTGAACTGGACAAGTAGGGTGTAGAAAAGCAAGAGGGCAAACACTCCACATGGGAAGAAAAACATTATTTTTTTGAGATTTTAAATTGATTTTTTAGACAGAGAAAGTAAGAGGGAGAGAAACATTGATATGAGATGGAAACATCAATTGGCTGCTTCCTGCATGCCCCTTACTAGGGATCGAGCTCACAAGATGGGCATGTTCCCTGCAGAGAATTAAACCTGGGAATTTTCAATCTGCAGACTGATGCTCTATCCATGGAGCCAAACCAGTTAAGGCTGTGTTTCCTTTTTAAATTTATCTTTGTTGTTGAAAGTATTATAGATGTCACCTTTTTTTTTTTTTTCCATTGACCCCCTCTGTACCTCACTTGCCCTGCCCCCTAAGCCTTCACATTATTGTCTGTGTTGAAGGGCTAAGCATATATGCATAAATTCCTTAGCCACTAGTGTTTTTTTTACACAGATCATCACAGGGATTTTGTGAGATTTTTTACAGGTCATGAGTCATAAACCCACAGATTCTAGTTTTATTTAATATCAGTAATCCTGAAAGAGGGATATTCTGCTAAGAGAATTTCACCAATAACAGTTCTTCATATAATTTCATTAGTCTGTTCCAGATTAGTGATAAACAGGTTTACAAGGGGATTAGACTGGGCCACCTGCCTTCTCCTCACATAAGCT